CTGAGGAGAGCAGGAATATGGTGGCTTTCGAGCTTCTAGCAGCTTGTCTTGGATTGCGACTAGCTGAGAAGGAGTATGCGGGTCTTCAGAAGCACAACGTCGTTCTGCTGACTGACAACGAAGCCACAAGAGGTATCCTATCCAAAATGTATGCGAAGACCGCAGGCCTGGCCAAGCTCTTACGATGCATGACGGAGACTCTGGCGAGTCTGTCCGACCATAACTTCTTCCCCACTCGAATTGCAAGCGAGCACAACATCGTGGCCGATAGAATATCGAGAGGCCAGCTGACGGAGGTACCAGCTGAGTGGGAGAGGGCCGAGATTGACCTCCGTGCGGAACTCCACCAAATGAGTTAACGCAACAGATGCTCGCTGATGAGAGTTGGACTTAGTCGCTAGACAACAAGCCTTAAGCAAGCCGCTGTAGTGTATTGATGAACTCTCGCGATGCCGTTTCAGTCTGTACTCATATTTCACTCGTTTTGTCGAACACAATCTTGTTGAGCTTCGATGAAGTACGCCGTCCGGGTCAATCTTGAACGTTTCCCTCGCAAGCCTCCGATGGACCAATCGGCCATGTGAAAACGACGAGGGTTCGGTCGAGTCCGCTCGTGATTAGTTGGAAGTATGACAATATCGATAAAGGTTTTGGCTTGTAATCCAACCGCCACTTATGACAGATAGACGACAGAGAGCGAAGCGCTTTCTACATGATGCAGCCGCATCGGGCCTCGACATCCGCACCGAAATCGACGGGATGGTTCAGGGAGCTTTATCGGCATCCTCGAGGAGAACGTACGGTTCTGCCGAGAAGCTATTTCGAGACATTATATGGGGAGAGAGTGAAGATGTATCGAGCGATATATATCCGATCACAGGCGAGATGCTCATTATATTCGCATACGTCATGATGAGGGTTGATTACAGCAGCTCTACAATAAAGACCTACGTGGCCGCACTGAAGACGAGAAATTTGGAATATGGCTGTAAACTCTCGCTCT